TAATGGCATACTACGTTTGGGTTGAACATATGCCTAGGTTGATAATAGCTAGGGGGTCTAACCATATTCATCCTATTTTGAGAAAAGGATGGTTTATGCACGTTTTCAAAAGAATCATTTCTAGGTGTCCTCATGTTATTTCTCCTATTTTGAGAAAAATTATTATTATGCATAAAATTATTTTTCTTAGGTTGTCTACCATGAACATTTTCATTCCTAGGTTTTAGTTTAGGTTGTCTAGTGTTCTTAGGTTGACTAGGTTTTCTATTATCCTGATTTTTAGGTTTCTTATGTTGAACCTTAGATGGTTTTCTAGGTGGTGGCTCAACGTTTTCTTTAACCTTAGCATCATTTTTATTGAAACATATTCCTTCCTTAAAAAAATGCATGGTGTCAAGGAGCAAATTTAAATCTTTATGCGGAGTATTAAATTTCTTGACCGTACTCTCAAGTTTTGTGACTTGTTTCTCTAAAGCTTTGCAAGATTCACATTTGTTTGAGGAACTTTCTGGTTTGTCGGCGCTTCTTTTGCCATAAAATTTATTCTCTTGTTTTAACTTCTCATTATCTTTTTCCAGATTTTCAAAATCATTTTCAAGAGTGGAGAGGCATTTCTTTAACGATTTGTTGATTTTAGAAGCGCTAACAAATTCATCATAAAGTTCATGAAGTTCTTCTTGCATTTCTTCAAAGGTGTAAGAGTCGGAAGAAATGGTACATACCTCTTGTACATCGTCGGGTTGGTCTTTGTGCGCCATGAGACAGAGGTTGGCAGTTTCATCCTCGTCTTGATCGGTTGACTCGTCGCCGGAGTCGCCACCCCAAGAGATATACGCCCTTTGCCTTTTGAAGTGTCGAGCGTTCCTTTCGCTTTTCGGGCATTTGTTCTTGATGTGCCCGGCTTCTCCAAATCCATAGCACACAGGGCCATCCTCAACCTTTTCTTTCTTTCTTAGAAGTTTGCAGAACTTCTTCATGACATGCTTGACTTCATCATCGTCGCTTGAATCATCCATCGTTGATTCTTTGACGGCTTTTAATGCTATCCCTTTCCTTTGGTCATTCAAAGACGGGTTAAGAATAATAGATTCATAGGTTTTTAGATTACCTGGCCTCTTAGACCGTCGATGGTGACATTTGATGTGCCGATTGATTCATAGATGGCATCAGCCTTGGATCGCCATTCGGATGTCAAGCTCCGTAGGATCTTTCGCACAAGATCCCTATCGGTGTATGTCTTCTTTAATGCATGGAGATCGTTGACTATCTTGGAAAATCGGTCGAACATGTCGTCAATCTTCTCGTGCTCCTTCATCCTGAACATCTCATATTCTTTGGTGAGGAAGTCAATCTTGGCTTCACGTACTTGGTCCGTTCCTTCGTACGTCACCTCAAGTTTATCCCACATCTCTTTGGCGGTTGAGCAGCAAGAGATCTTGCGGTAGTCATCAGGATTTACGGCACAATAAAGCATGTTTATTGCCTTTGCATAATTCTCGACCTTTTTGATGTCCTCAGCATCAAACTCGTCTTCGGTCTTGGGGATCAACTTGTCTCCAACTTTCTTCATTGGCACCTCTTCCCCGTTTTTGATAACCAACCATAATTGGAAGTTCGTGGAACGAATATAGATTCTCATTCGTTCTTTCCAATATGTATAATTGGTTCCATCAAAAAGAGGTGGCCGTGTGGTTGATTGCCCTTCACCTATTCTTGCATACAAATTTCTAGAAGAAGAACCCATGATCGCTTTACTCTCAAACGGTTAAGTTTGGACGCGAGTTAGGCTTTGATACCAATTGTTAGAATAAGTGACCAACGCTAGAGGGGGGGTGAATAGCGTTTGATCATAGAAATCGCAGGAATAAAAAAAATTAAGAACGTGAAAAATAAAGAGCGTAGAAAGCATAAAGGGAGCACACCAAGATTTATACTGGTTCACCACAACGTGTGGCTAATCCAGTCTCCCGAGAGACTATCTCGAGCTACACTACTTCCGTTAAGCTTACGGGTGCTTAACAAACCGTTACAACCTGAGAACTCGAGTCCCACGAGCCTCAACAACACTTGCTCGGAGATACCGCACTCCAAGACTTCAACCCGAAGGAAAATACCTTTCCTTCGTACAACCAAGGGAAACAAGCTTCACTTAACGTGTATACAACACTTAAACACTCAAGAACAAGACTCTCTTTAAGAGTAGATGATGAGTAAACTAAGTACGCTCAAGAACAACTCAAACTTCACACAAATTGGCTCTAGAAAGCTATGGAAAATGATGTTGTTTGAATGCAATGATAATAGGAGTAATGTGAAGTGAATTAATAAGAAAAGCAGACCCAAACACCCCTTTTTATAGTGCCAAAATAGGCTCCAACGGACCAATGCATTAAAGGGGTGATTGGCTTGATTTATGGGATTGAAAAGATTTGGGATCTGCAGAATCTTGGCTTCCCATCGATGTTTAGGACTTACCCATCGCTGGTAAGCCAATTTTCCTTCAGTTTTGAAGCCAACGGTTACCTACCCATCGATGGGTAAATGCTTCCCATCGCTGGGTGGGAGGTTGACTTTCAAATAAGGAAAGAATCAGCCTTAAATGACTCCCAACGGTCATGCCTTCCCATCGATGGTTAAGCCTTCCCATCGCTGGGTTCCCATCGATGGGTAAAGCTTCCCATCGCTGGGTAAGGGCATTCTGCCTTGTGGTAATGTTGCACCAAGGCTTTAACATCGATGGGTAGAACTTCCCATCGCTGTTTGGCATGGTTCTNGTACACGGGTGGTTTTCACCAAAAGACAAAACTGAAAGGTGGTTTTCATGATGCTTTGATTGGAGAACCATTTAAATGCATTCAAAAACAATTCCCACACAAAAAGACTTGAAAACCACTTTATTTAAGTAAAAACCGCGGCTAGCCAAGTTTATGCCGTTTCGCGTGGTTTTTGTCAAACGACAAAAAACGAAAGGTGGTTTTTGAAGTGTTTTTGATGAAAAACTATTTAAATGTGCCCAGAAGTAAAAACCAGTCATAAAAAGTTGAAAACCACTTGGTTAGTTCAGACGCCAAAAACCAACGCCGAAAACCGAATGCCGAATGCCGGTTTCTGAAACCCGAACGCCGGATGGCTTGATTTTTGGTTTGGGCGAACACCAAGTGTTTTTAATGTTTTAAACATGTTTGAAAAACATTTTTATGATTTTTGAAATGCAATGAAAAGAATTTTAGCCTAAAGAGCCAAAGTGTAAGGCTTGGGTCGGTCTTGATCACATTGTGACCGACTCAACAACGCTAAGACTACTGTCTTCGTTATTGGTCTTCTTTTGGCTCTTGTTCTCTTGCTTTCTTCTTATATTTATTTCTCGCATTGTATATTCAACAACTTGTCTCGTTCACGGCGGTTTGGCATTATCAAAACCTGTCATAAAAACGAACACGGCTTTAGTATGAAAACGTGATAAACCCGTGTTTCAACAGTTTACCTGTTGTGCTTGAGCCGAGGGTCACTCTTAAGAAACAACATCTCTACTTTTGAGTAGGGGTAAGGTCTGCCTACACACACCCTCCCCTAGACCCAAGTTTTGTGTGATTCCACTGGGTTCTTGTTGTGGTTGTTGTGTTTTGCTTGGTAGAATTAATGAAGCCTCCTATTCATCCAGGGCATCACATCACAGAAACAGAACATTGCACATCATTATTCCAGTAATTGTCGGATCTGTGGCTATTTCGCTTTGCTTCTTTATTGCCTGTTGGCAAGTGGCTAAGAGAAAAGGTGAGCTATTGACCTGGAAATATGTGCCGAAAAATATGGTAAGTTGTACTATCACCTATAATGGTGTACATTTTTCTTATGAAACCAGGAGAAGAGACAAAGGAAAAAAAGATATATGAGGTGCGAAGACGAATGCTTCCACCAGACTCATCAGCCGCGATCATAGTCAAAGATGAGACGGAAAAGATTAACATTGAAGAGATGCCATTGTTCACTTTTGAGATGGTTTTGAATGGAACAGATCAGTTCAATGAGAACAAACTTCTTGGCAGGGGTGGTTTTGGTCTTGTTTACAAGGTACCATATTAATATTTTCTTCTGTATTTTGTTTCCGAGAGGGGGGGGGGTGAATAGCGTTTGATCGTAGAAATCGCAGGAATAAAAAATTAAGAACGTGAAAATTAAAGAGCGTAGAAAGCGTAAAGGGAGCACACCAAGATTTATACTGGTTCACCACAACGTGTGGCTAATCCAGTCTCCCGAGAGACTCTCTCGAGCTACACTACTTCCGTTAAGCTTACGGGTGCTTAACAAACCGTTACAACCTGAGAACTCGAGTCCCACGAGCCTCAATAACACTTGCTCGGAGATACCGCACTCTAAGACTTCAACCCGAAGGAAAATACCTTTCCTTCGTACAACCAAGGGAAACAAGCTTCCCTTAACGTGTATACAACACTAAGCACTCAAGAACAAGCCTCTCTTTAAGAGTAGATGATGAGTAAACTAAGTACGCTCAAGAACAACTCAAACTTCACACAAATTGGCTCTAGAAAGCTATGGAAAATGATGTTGTTTGAATGCAATGATAATATGAATAATGTGAAGTGAATTGATGAGAAAAGCGGACCCAAACACCCCTTTTTATAGTGTCAAAATAGGCTCCAACGGACCAATACATTAAAGGGGTGATTGGCTTGATTTATGGGATTGAATAAATTTGGGATCTGCAGGATATTGGCTTCCCATCGATGTTTGGAACTTACCCATCGCTGGTAAGCCAGTTTTCCTTCAGTTTTGAAGCCAACGGTTACCTACCCATCGATGGGTACAAGCTTCCCATCGCTGGGTGGGAGGTTGACTTCCAAACAAGGAAAGAATCAACCTTAAATGACTTCCAACGGTCATGCCTTCCCAGCCATGGGTATGCCCTCCCATCGCTGGGTAAGGGCATTCTGCCTTGTGATTATATTGGTCCAAGGCTTGAACAACGATGGGTAGAACTTCCCATCGCTGTTTGGCATGGTTCTGGAAATCAGTTGGGCTAAAGGCTGCTTACCCATCGCTGGGTAATATCTCCCATCGCTGGGTGGAATGATTCTGGAATCCCAGGATCACTTACCCATGGATGGGTCATATCTACCATCGCTGGGTAGATGGCTAGCCCAGAACCACGGCCTAGCTGACCAGCACTGAAACCCGACCGAAAAATGCAAAGTTCTCCAAAGTAAAAACTAAGTATTTAAAACACTTATTTAATGTATTTTGATCTCAAAACAAGCTTTGTAAGTTGAAAACCACGTCGTTAAGGTAAAAACCACGGTTGACCAAGTCAATGCCGTACACGGGTGGTTTTTACCAAAACACAAAACCGAAAGGTGGTTTTCATGATGTTTTGATTGGAGAACCATTTAAATGCATTCAAAAACAATTCCCACACAAAAAGACTCGAAAACCACTTCATTTAAGTAAAAACCACGGCTAGCCAAGTTTATGCCGTTTCGCATGGTTTTTATCAAACGACAAAAAACGAAAGGTGGTTTTTGAAGTGATTTTGATGGAAAACTATTTAAATGTGCCCAGAAGTAAAAACCAAACATAAAAAATTGAAAACCACTTGGTTGGTTTGGACGCCAAAAACCAACACCGATAACCGAATGCCGAACGCCGGTTTCTGAAAGCCAGACCCCGGATGGCTTGGTTTTTGGTTTGAGCGAACACCAAGTGTTTTTAATATGTTTAAGCATGTTTGAAAATAATTTTGATGATATGTAAAATGCAATAAAAAATGTTTTAGCCTAAAGAGCCAAAGTGCAAAGCTTGGGTCGGTCTTGATCACATTGTGACCCACTCAAAGACGCTAAAGACTACGGTCTTCGTTCTTGGTCTCTTTTAGCTCTTGATCTCTTGCTTTCTTCTTATATTTATTTCTCGCCTTGTATATTCAACGACTTGTCTCGTTCACGGCGGTTTGGCATTATCAAAACCTGTCATAACAACGAACACGGCTTTAGTACGAAAACGTGATAAACCCGTGTTTCAACATGAAGGGGAGATCATGAGAAGCATTCACATTGCATTGTTGTGAGTTCAGGAATTCCCCGGTGACAGGCCAACAATAGAAATCATTCTCTCAATGCTCACCCGGGAGCTCGTGGACTTGCCAATTCTTGAGCAACCCGTGTTTGCTGAGAAGTGGAACAGTTCTCAGGTCGGGACTGGGTCAGTTCATCCGCAAATTTCCATTAATCAGCTAACACTTAGCATTCTTGATGGCCGTTAACAAACAAGCTTTTAAATTCATACCAAATTTCTAAAAGCTCTTATTTTCTTTCTATTGTACAATAATGTGAAATAAGAACGATCTCCCACTGTTTATGTCATTTTTCGAATCCAAAACATTAGTATCACTAGTGATGGATATCGGGTCTGGTAGACCCGACTCCAGGCCCAAATAAAGGCCTACAATAACCCAAGAGGTATAAAGTCAGATGGAGATAACGGGCCGAGCCCATAATTGCGCATACGGCAGATCGAGAGAGACGGCCCGGTTATGGAATAAATTAAGGTGACCCAGTCCAAGAAAGGAGTGGGACACGTGGCCCACGTCATTGGGTCATAAACGGAGTGGGAAGAGAACGAGACCGGAAAAGAGGGAATCACAACCCCACGATCTCTATAATCCTTTCCATTTTGTATCATTTTAATTATATTATTAGAGATATTATAAAAAGGGGGAGAACCCGCCATTGTAAAGGGGGAGACAATTCAATACTCAATAGAAGAATATTATCGAGTGGTTATATCTTCCTGATTCTTATTACGTTCTTGGTCCGCCATCTGATCGGGTTAATCCCATCATTGGTGCTTCCATTGAGAGTAATACTGTGAGATAAGGCTGTGAGATTATGGCCGGACGAAGGACGAGACGTAACACTGCTGCTTCCGCCCAGTCGACGGTGAGGAGTGACAACCCTGAGCAGGGTATGATCGTTCCTGTCAATGGGTTGGAAACGGCATTGAATAATGTGGCTAACATGATGGCCAACATTATGGAACGATTGGATAAGGCTCTTCCAGGTCCATCCGGTATCCGAGACGTCCCTGCCGGGCAACCCCGTCAGGTACTGCGTACCGCGAGTTCTCCTATCCTCCAGGAGCTTCATGATCCGGAAGAGGTTGAGAGGGAGAAACGAGCCATTGCCAGACGCCGGGCGGAGGAATTGGCCCGGAATAGTAAAGTGAATGAGGACCGGGCCAAGGATGCAAGCCGGATCATCGGCGATGGAAACGAAAACCCGCGGGGATCCGTCTTTGAAAGGATATCTCGCCAGAAGGCTCACGTTAGTGAGAGGCTGGGGAAGAATCCGGATAAGGCACCTAAAGGTTGGACACGACCCCAGGCCAGCCAGGTGGCATCTTCCAATCGCGAACCCCGGCAGCAAAACGGCCGTGGCGCGAGCCAAGTGCTGGTCCGGTCATTGAAGAATCTGGAGGAGGACGAGGTTCAAAGCCAAGCCAGGGTCCCAGCACCACGGCGTCTAGGGCCGCCGATGCCGGAAGCTGGTGAATTCCAAGATCTGAGGCAGTAGATCCAGGAGATGCAGAGGAAGATAAACAAAGGTCGAGTATTCACTACCCGTACGAATACTCCCTTAGCCCCGGAGATCTTTGCGGGACCATATCCGCAGGGATTCAAAATGCCGTTTGTTAAGCGTTATGATGGGGAGTCAGACCCCAGGAACACATAAACAGTTATGTCAAAGTGATGATTGCCGTAGACGCCAGTGACGCACTCATGTGCCGGTGCTTCTTGCAGACAGTTGACAGCAAGGTCGCGGATTGGGTCAACCATATCCCTGCCGGATCGATCCGGACATGGGATGAATTGGGACTACGGTTCCTAGAGCATTTCGCCGGGAACTGCCGTCCCAAAAAGCATTTCACTCACTTGGCTTTGGTTCGACAGAAGCATGGAGAATCCTTGAAGAATTTCCTTATCCGATGGAGGAAAGAGTCCAGGGAGGTTGAAGGAACCGATGATAAATCCAGGTTGGCTATGTTCACAGCGGCATTACAGGGTGGACTCCTTCACACCGATCTTACTACTCATCCCCCGGATACCTTCGAAGAAGCAATGGTCCGGGCGGGGAGGTATGTGACCCTGGAAGAAAGGAAGGAGGAGAAGAAAGAGAAGACTCCTAAAGAAGAAGAGAAGAAGGGAAATAAGAAGCCATTTAAAAATAAGAAGCAGGGCTTCCCGGATGGCCCAAAAGGCACAAGTCCTGGAACATCGGAGAAACACAAATCTGCCAATCCAGTCTTCACATTGCCGGTGGCTGAGGTCATGGCCCACGCCGCACAGCAGGGACTCATGATTTATCCAACTTATTCTCAAAAGGTCTGTAATGTGGAGGATACTGGAAAATGGTGCGCTTACCATCGCAAGAATGATCACAACACGGAAGATTTCTATACTCTGAAGAATGAGATGGCAAGGCTAATCCGTCGGGGTCATCTAAAGAAATTCGTGCAAGATGGTGATGCAGGAAATCCCGGGAATGCTCAGAATGGAAAGCGCAGAGATAAAGAAGTGGCCCAGGCTGAGGCCCGGGAGAAACGCCACATTGGGCTTGAAGAAGAAGAGGAGGATTCGGAACCCGCACCACATCGCCAGAAGAGACACCACGGGTGTAACTTCATCATTGGAGGGAATACTGGCGGAGACTCAGCCACAAGCCGGAAGAAGTGGGCTAACGCGGCGATGGTCAACAAGGTGCTGGTCCCAGAAGGTAAGAAGCTGAAAACTGAGCCAATTGTATTTTCTAATGCTGATCTCCCAGAAACAGGGGTCCCCATAGGGATGCCCTAGTGATTACTATTGATATAATGGACTTACTGATCCACAAAACCCTTGTGGATACGGGAAGCTCCGTTAATATCATGTATATGGATACGTACAAGGCTCTTGGTTTGACAAAGGATGAATTATCACCCATCAAGACTCCACTGACCGGGTTCACCGGTGACTCTATTGAACCGGAGGGGGTGATAACCCTCCGGTTGAGATAGGGGATACTAAGGCTACCCGGAAGTTGGACTTGGAGTTTGTTGTGGTGGGGATAATCTCCAACACAAACATTATCCTGGGCAGACCTGGATTGGAAGATTTGGAGTGTGTCATCTCGCCTCGTCACCTGTGCATAAAATTTCCAACCCCCACGGAGTTGGAGTTGCCAAGGGATCTCAGAGAGTGTCCCGGGCATGGTATTTGAAGGCAACCAAACAGCCGGTCAAGTACGATACCCAAGTGGGAGAGGTGACTGCGCAGCTCCTGAGGGCTGAGGAAAAACGTCCCAGAGTAGAAGTTGCTGGCGACATCGAAGAAGTGGAATTGGAGCCAGGCACGCTGGGAAGGTTGGTCAGGATTGGCAAGGGCCTGGGGGCTGTACTCAGATTACGAGTGATTTCAGTCCTTAGAAGGTTCAGGAGGGTCTTTGCATGGATTCCAGCTGATATGCCAGGGCTGGATCACAAGATTGCAGTTCATCGCCTAAATGTCCTGCGGGATGCTAAACCAGTGAAGCAGAAGCGGAGGCATTTGTCGCAGGAACGAAGAGATTTCGTGAAGAAGGAGGTAGCAACCTTGCAGAGCATCGGGCACATCCGAGAGGTGCAGTACCCGGATTGGTTGGCAAATGTAGTACTGGCGCCTAAGCCCCCTTCGTGGAGGATGTGCGTCGACTACACAGATTTGAACAAGGCATGTCCCATGGATCCGTTTCCTCTCCCCAACATTGATCAGATGGTGGATGAGACTGCCGGGTCAGAGTTAATGAGCTTCATGGACGCTTTCAGTGGCTACCATCAGATTCGGATGCATCCGACCGATGCTGAAAAGACAAGTTTTATGACCCAGAAGGGCTGTACTGTTACTTGGTGATGGCCTTTGGGCTGAGAAATTCCGGGGCGACATATACCCGGATGGTTTCTCAGGTGTTCAAGGCTGTCTTAGGGCGGACCATGGAAGCGTATGTTGATGACATGATTGTCAAATCCAAAGAGGCCCGAGACCATGTCCGGGACCTTGAGGAGGTCTTTGAAATCATGATGAAGGTAAATCTGAGATTGAACCCGAAGAAATGTACTTTTGCTGTTCAGGGTGGGAAATTCCTTGGGCACATGGTTAGCCGGAAAGGAATTGAGGCAAACCCGCAGAAAGTAAGAGCCATTATGGAGATGGAACCCCCGAAGACAGCAAAGGAAGTTCAGCGGCTGACAGGGAGATTGGCGGCCTAGAATCGTTTCCTTTCGAAGCTGGCAGAGAAGGCGCATCCATTCTTTGCTGTGATCAAGAAGAGAGCGGCCTTCGAATGGACACAGGAATGCCAAGAAGCATTCGAAGAACTAAAAAGATATCTCTCAAGCCCACCGGTTTTGTCTAAGCCGGAACCTGGAGATGTTTTGACTCTATACTTGGCAATTGCAGATTGTGCTATAAGTACTGTGATCGTAAGGGAAGAGCACGGGGCCCAACATCCGGTCTACTACATCAGCAAGACCCTGAGAGATGCGGAGTTAAGGTATTCCCGTCCGGAAAAAGCCATGTTTAACTCCGTACTTTCAGGCTCACCGGATTGTTGTGCTCACGAATGAGCCTTTGGCGTCACTTACCCGAAGCCCCGCGGCATCTGCCCAAATGACCAAGTGGGCAGTCTTCATTAGTCAGTATAACGTGGAGTTCAGGCCGCGCCCATCCATCAAGGGGCAAGCACTCGCCGACTTTCAAGTTGAGTGCACCGCCAGAGAAATGACAAGAGCCCAGGTTGAAACCCGGGTGGAAAAGGACTGGTGGGTAATGAGAATTGATGGATCTTCTGGATCTCGATCTTGCGGAGCAGGGATCGTCTTGATCACCCCAGAAAAATTTTGGATTTATTACGCTATCAGATTTCAGTTCCGCGTATCCAACAATGAAGCTGAATATGAGGCCCTGATCAACGGATTGAAGATTCTTAGTAAGATGGGAGTATCCAGGGTTCAGGTTTACAGCGACTCCCAATTAGTGGTGGGACAAATCACAGGGGAGTTTGAAGCAAAGGAAGAAAGGATGAAGAGGTATCGGGACTTGTCTTTAGAGATGTTGGGGAGGTTTGAGTTTAAGCTTGAACATATACCCCGGGCCCAGAACGCAGAGGCCGATGTTCTATCCAAGCTCAGCGCAGAGTCACCGCAATACATAAGCAAATTAGCAACCGTCGAGGAACTGGTAACCCCGAGTCTTAACAGCAATGAGGTGATCTGGGTATCAGCTGATCCTCCGGAATGGCTGGACCGGTTGGCCAAATACATTGAGGACGGTGAAGCCCCGGAAAATCCCGAAGAAGCACGTCTGTTGCGAATGAGGGCACCTACCTACCAGGTACAGGATGGAGTCCTCTATAAGCGATCTTACAACGGTGTTTTACTCCGTTGCCTCAGGGCAGCAGAGGCAAAGGCACTAATGGAAGAAATACATGAAGGAGTATGTGCTGCACATCAGTGTCCTTACTCCATCTCCAGAAGGGCTATTATCCAAGGATACTTCTGGCCAACGATGAAGAAGGATTGCGAAGAGTATGTACGCAAGTGCCCGACCTGCCAACAATTCCAGAATATACCCGGGAGGCCGGCCACGAATTACACGCCCATTAGTTCTGTGATTCCCTTCTCAATATGGGGGATTGATATTGTGGGAGCCCTGCCGAAAGGAGCTGGGCAGGCAAGGTGGATTGTGGTGGCGATAGACTATTTCACAAAGTGGGTGGAAGCTGAGCCACTTGCCGGGATTACTGGAAGGCAGATGATCGACTTCGTCGGAACGAATATACTCTGCAGGTTTGGGGTCCCGAGGCAGATCATATCTGACAATGGAACCTAGTTTGAGGAAGCAGAGTTTCAAGACTTCCTCAAAACTTGGGGACTTCAGCACACAAAGGTGTCTGTTGCGTACCCTCAGGCTAATGGACAGGTGGAGATTGTCAACAGAACAATCATAGACGGAATAAAGAAGAAGCTACTTTCAGAAGGAAGCAAATGGGTAGATGAACTACCTAGAATCCTGTGGACATACAGGACGACTCCAAGGAGAGCCACGGGTGACACTCCTTTCGGCTTAGCTTATGGTTTTGAAGCCCGGGCTCCCGCTGAGGTAGTAATCCCCACCAGGAGAGAAATGGAATATAACCCGGAGGTGAACGAACAAAATCAGGCCGTAGAGCTGAATTTCGTAGAGGAACGACGGGATGAAGCACGGATCCGGGCAGAGAATTATCGTCGCCAGGTGAAATCTTACTTTGATAGCAAGGTGAAACCAAGGGCGTTCCAGGTGGGGGATTACGTTCTGAGGAAACGGGATAAAAGTCAACCAACTAAGGGTGCGAAGCTGGCTAAGAAGTATGAAGGACCTTATATCATCAAGGCCGTTGTTCGCCCAGGTACCTACAAGTTGGTGACTCCCAAGGGGAAAGAAATTGATAGGACATGGAATGTAGAGCACTTGGTCAAATTTTATCAGTGAAATCATTTTGTAAAAACGTTCTATTTTTAATTTAAGATGTTTGTTTCAATAAAATTTTTCTTTTCTTTTAAAGCCAAGTGCCTTTGCAATTTCTTTATTCTATAGATTTCTTTAAAAAAAAAAAGGGGGGGGGGGGGAAGCACCCCCGGGCGATATAGACCCGCATTACAGGGAGGTAGAAAAGTTTATGCCACCTGCTAAAAATAGGGGAGGTAGATAAGTTTATGCCCCCCCCCCGGAGGTAGAGAAGTTTATGCCTCCGTCGAAAATGAAGGAAGGGTTGGGATTGGACTTTGAGGGCCATTACAACCTGGAATTCAGGAAGAATAGCAAGCAGACTTCGAGGGCTGAAGCTTAGTATTCCACTGGCATAGATCAGCTGAGCAAACAAACTTTGAGGGTTGGAGCTCAACTGATCCAGGGTAGATAAGATTATGCCTTAACCCGGAGGAATGAGATAAGTGCCCCTGGCATGCCCAAACCCCGGGAGATGAGATTTTATATAGAAAATGAATTATGTACTTGCATTCGAAGAGGTGCAAAGAAATGACTATTAAGGACCATATTAATGGCCCAAAGTTTACAGCGATTGCTAATTCGGAGGTTATATCTTTGAATTACAGCGATGATTCCTACTTTGAAATTAAGGAGCATTCCTTAGTTTGGATGCAAGGAAAACCCCTGGACCAAACAAGTGAATGCCCCTTGATACAAAACAAAGAAAAGAAATTTGATTTGCAAGAGGCTAGGAACTGAAGGAGGGCCTATTGCATCCATGCAGTCAACAAGAAGGAGGTGGGGGACCCTTCCATGGGTTCCTTCTCTTTGACGAGGGACACGTTGATGAATCGACAGTTTCCCATATGTCATAGTCTTCCCATGTCCCAGGACGGGGAGCTGCTCCCTTCAATGAAGAACCATTGTTGGAAGACTTCAGCAGGTGTGGGGAAGCAGTTCGGCTTTCACATGAAGGTTCTGCCTCGACAATTGGCAAAGAGCATCCGAGTTTAGCCCTGCACATCCTCTGGTACAAGGCGAAGTCTTGGAGGGTCATAGAGTCCCAATCTATCCTCCCGGATGGAAGCCTGGGTGGACTAGGAGGGGATGGTGCAGGAAGGCGGGGCGCCGGGTAGAGCTTTGAGAACTCGCCAGGACTCAAACCGGCCATGTCGTTGGATTGGGCTAGAGAGACGGAGAAATCATCATCCGAAGAAGAAGATGTCCCAGAGAGGGTTAAGTCGATGACGACTTTACTCTCAGACTTACTTGCCATGGCGGAGAAGTCAGAAAGGGATGGACTGGCAGCTAATTATCCTTTCCCATTTATAGTCAAAGGGGAAGGGATAGTTGGGAAGTGATGGATGCGGTTGGAAGACGTGAAAGACTAAGCGATTGGCGAAGGAAACGGTCGTTAATTTCCCATGTTTGACTAGGGGTTTCTCACCACTTAAGTGCATGGGCTAGTTAATTGGGCCCATCTGTGCTTGGGAAAAGACGTCATCCTTGGAAGGTAAGGAGCTAAATGAACTTGGACTTCTACTCCATGCAGATGACGCCACGTGCAATAAAATTATATTAAATGACAGGAGATAAAGGTTTTTCCATTAAATAGCTCAAACAGAAGATTACATTCTTTTGGGTTACAGTAATGGGCCTTATCCCTGATCAAACAACAAAACAAAAAAGAGACGGGAGATAAAGACTTTCATTAAATAACTCAAATGGAAGGTTACATTCTTTTGGGTTACAGTAATGAACTTTGTCCCTGATCTACTTCTATCCTACTACTGGGAAAAGTTGAAGGCAAGGCGGATCAACACTTCTTGAATCTGAAGGAGTGTATTCGCTGACCCTTGCTTCCCAGCCTGAACCAGAAAAGAACCCCAGAGCGGGGGGGTGTGAAGAAAGCCCACCGTTCTCTCTTGATGACATTCAAAAGGGGCGAAAGGGTACTAACGGGTTGGGATTGAAAGCCATTTCCCCGTGAGTACCATGCAGACACTCCCATGAAGACGGACAAGGAGGACGATGAGGCATGAAGGAGGGACTCCAGGCCTATCTCCGCTTATACGGGAGGAGGGGGCGGATCCCGGAAGGATCCGTCCTTTTCCCTGCGTATAAATGGGAGCCTATTTCCCCCCATGTCATAGTCGCCCCACTCCTCAGATGGCTGTCCATATGACTGCTGAGGGGAAGGAGAACCCTGGGAAGAAGGCCTCGCACCAGAGACCAACCGGGAAGCTCCTGAGTGGGGAGTGCGTCTCTTCTGCGAACGAGGCGTGCCAGGACGGCCAGAAGAGGCTTCCGCCCTGGCACCGTTAAGAAGCATGCCGGGACTCGGAGGAACACCCCCTGAAACCTGTGGGGGGAGATGAGGGTTATTCTCGTCCCTGGGCAAGGGAGAAGTTACCGATTGTTCAGAGGCAAGAGAAGTCCAAGAAGAGAGCTCAGGCGTTGGGGGCCCAAGTGAAGGGAATGCCAACGAAGAAGAATCACAAGAAGAATCGGAAATAGTAAGATCAATAAAGACGACCCTATTGGCATTATTAGCCATGTTGAGAATTTGATTGTGATGATGAAGGGGTTTAGCCTAGTCCCTTAAATAGGCGAGTAATCCCAAAGGAGAAGCGCAAGGGACGCGGAGTCAGAGCGCTTATCCGATTGGAAGGCAGTTGCGGATTCCCGAGGAAAGTTAGGGTTGCATCATCTTATTATTGGGCTAGAGTGAATTGGGCCCGGCGTAATTGAGGTGGGCCAGTCACTTAGCGCAATGGTAGACAATAAAAACAGTACATTGAGAATGCAGTTAAGCCCAAGGCCTAGGCGGATAAAAAAAAATCTGCTAAGTCCTGGGGCGAGATAAGAATCCCAAAAGGAGAACAGTCAGATTAATAGAAGGAGTCTATGCGGACAAAATACATCAAGTGTTATCAATTAACTACCATCTAAATGTTACAAAGCAAAATACAACATGCGATAGAGAAGAATAAAGTCAAGGCCCCGGATCTGCACGAGAAGCTGGGGGAGAAAGAGGAAGAGGTAACCCATAGTAAGAGATGAAGTTGTCCAAGGAACGGTTTTCTGGAAGACCACTCTGAACTGCCTCGTAGATGCATTGTTGCATGTCAAATTTCCCTTCTTCATAAAGGGCTTCAGCGCGGGCAGTCAGAGTGGCAACCTCCTCTTGATGGGCAGCAGTTGTCTTCTCCAGTTCATCCATCTTTAACCGGAGCTCACTTGCAGTCTGTCTCTCTTCCTTTAATTTCATGGATAAGTCGTCTCGCTTCCATCTGTTTCAGTGCGAATTCATTGAAACGGGAACTCTCATGCTTGGCCTCTTGGAGGGAATTCTCCAGCTCAGAGATCCGGGACTCCTTTTCAACCAATCCAGCTTCTAGATTTCCCACCTTGTCTTCTGAAGCGGAGGCCCTTGATTCCAGGGTGGAGATTTGTGCCCGGAGTCTGTCAAATTGCGCTTCCATATCATGAGTCCCCCTTTTGTAAGAAGCGATCTGCTCCTGCAGGGACTTGACCTTGGACTTCTCAGCTGTTAGCTCCATTGAGCCACCTGCCTTGAGCCGGGCATTCTCTTCCTGTAGGACCTAGACTTGTTGTTCCAGGGAGTCAACCTTCTGTTGTAAAGCCCTGGCAGCCAACTCCTTCTCCTTCAGGAGCACTACACCCCGGTAGTTCCCTGATGCTCCACCCAGGTACTCCTCAGTCAAAGTGAGGAGTGATTGCTGGGCCTAAAAGAAGGAAAGGGAATTCAAAGAAAAGAACTAACCTAAAAGGAGATAAAGAAATTTTTGAAAAAGAAACAGTACTTGCTCCATGAAGTGCAGAGCGTTGAGGTCAAGCAAGTCGGGACGAGCCTGGGGAATCGCAGGCTCCTGCACTGATTCCCTCATCTTCTCCAAGTTTGTCTGGATAGTCCAATGGGAAGCCTGTAAGGACCTCAAACCACGGGAGAAGCTTGCCCAACCCTTTGTAAAAACAGGATAAGTTTGCGGCGTGAACTTGCGCCGGATGGGGAGACTGACGGCCGAAGGTGTGGTGGCGGGACATCGTTCCTCCTGGTCCCGCTGCTCCTCCTGATTCTGCTGCGTCTCAGTCTCTCTCCTCATCTCTGGAGGAACCTCGGCATCGTTTTGCTCTGCAGCTTCCTTCTCCGCTGTGGAAGGGGCGTCCGGCACTTTCTGAATTTCAATCTCCACCTCTGCTGCAAAAGAAGACCCTGCAGGTTCTTCCTGCTCCTCAACTTCTATCTCCAGCTCTTGGGGGGCAAGTGCAGTTTGAGGGAGGGAATTGTTTGCATCGGGCTGAGGCTGCACCGCTGGTTTTTTTAGTGGTGCTGGGTCTGAAAGTTCATCTGCCTCATGATCCAGGCTCTCCGGATGAGGTAGCTCTAAACCTCCGGGTGCAGCAGCAGAGGTGGTATTCTGAGTACCAGAAAAAGTTGACAGGGGGCTGGGTGAAACAGAAGTACCATCACCCCTATGCTTCTTGGGAAGGAAATCATCGTCAGTAACTCCTTCCCTAGGTTGTTTTTGGGATGGGATGGGCCTCCTGAGCCCAGGAATGGTAGAGATAGGAACGGCCTCCAGTGCAGCAACCGGCTTGCAAATAGCCAAGGCAGTGGAATCGCCCTGGGGTTGATTCCCGGTAGAACTCATAGCCGGGTTGGACTCTGCAGCAGAAGGAGCCTTCGATCCCTCAGGAGAAGGCACACCTTCAAATGGAAACGGGTCAGGACCCAGGGGGTAGTAAAAACCCGCCTTCTTGTACAGTTGGGCGTCTTGAAGGGAGTGGTGTGAAATTAGACCTTCTTTTTCTCTCGAGGCGTTGAACGCTCCCTCCGCTAATTCTGCTGCAGCAAATTTCGTCCGGGAAATGGAACGGCGGAGGACAACACCCGGTAGATCAAGGGGGCTGTGAGCCGGGAACTCAATAACGAAGTATCTCAATGACCATTTTTCATACTTGAACTCAACCTTCTCAAAAATTGGGAAATGGTTGTGGGGATATAGGCTGTAGAAGGGGAAACCACCGATACTGAAGAGGAGAAGGAACTCATCCAATTTTGGGGTTCTGTCCAGGGCACAGCACCGCAGGATGTAGGACGCGACATACTTGTGCGCGTTGGCAGTCAGTTGACCCGGAGCAAATCCGAAATGGAGGCAGAGGTCGCGAAGCAGACCGCGGAGGGGCAACCTAAACCCATTTTCCACAGAGTGGTACTGCATGACCATATATTTTTGGGGGTTTGGATTGTAGGATAAACTGATTCCCCCAACAGCATCGGGATGGTGGACCCGGAAGCCCTTGCCCAGGAGCGCGGCCACCTCTCGAAGTTCGTTCTCCTTGATAATGGAGGGTCCATGGGTCCAGGTTTCAGGATTCGTAGGAGCCATTTTGGAAAAAGGGACAAGGATTTGGGGAAATTGCAGTCGGAATTCGGGTCGGGTTAAGATTCAGCAGCGAGAAGAAGAAGACGAGTCCAGAAGGGGTTTTTATCCGTTGAAAGGATGGACCCGAGGTACTCGAGTGCGACGTTTCTAATCTGACACGAAGACCGAAGGCGGCTCATCATTAGTTTTCTAGCGACACGTCGCCAGAAAACTAGGGGGCTTGTGATGGATATCGGGTCTGGTAGACCCGACTCCAGGCCCAAATAAAGGCCTACAATAACCCAAGAGGTATAAAGTCAGATGGAGATAACGGGCCGAGCCCATAATTGCGCATACGGCAGATCGAGAGAGACGGCCCGGTTATGGAATAAATTAAGGTGACCCAGTCCAAGAAAGGAGTGGGACACGTGGCCCACGTCATTGGGTCATAAACGGAGTTGGAAGAGAACGAGACCGGAAAAGAGGGAATCACAACCCCACGATCTCTATAATCCTTTCCATTTTGTATAATTTTAATTATATTATTAGAGATATTATAAAAAGGGGGAGAACCCGCCATTGTAAAGGGGGAGACAATTCAATACTCAATAGAAGAATATTATCGAGTGGTTATATCTTCCTGATTCTTATTACGTTCTTGGTCCGCCATCTGATCGGGTTAATCCCATCAACTAGTTTTTAATATATTTTCCCTTGTTTGTAACATAAGTGACAAAAAAAATATATTATCCTATCAAGAGAAATTGATTTTTGTTTCTCTTCGTAGAAATATTTCTACTCACTCCACACCATCGTCCCCATCTGCCAGGGGGGTACATTTGGATGGATTTCATCCGGTCCTCAAAGTATCCGGAATTTTCATATCAGCAAAATCTATTTCATGCGCGATGAGGAAATCTTTCAATATTCGAGTTCCAAATATCCAAAATCTCAAGTTGGATCATTGGAAAATTTGAAATGAATTTTTATTTTTTGAATTTTATTTTTTCCAGTGATCCTAAAAATATCATAGATAGATTTTTATTTGTTAAAAAAGTGGAACTCAAAACTAGACATGAATTTAAAGTCAAATGTAGTTTAAATGTCATATTTACTTTGATAGTTTTATCAAAAGTCATAATTTTATGAATACGTTGGAAAACAAATATTTTCATAATGAACAAATAAAGCAAAGAGAAAATGACTAAAAGTAAAAAATTGAATAGAGCTTACATTTAGATATTTATGATGATACAAATAAATTGACCTAAATTTATATAGGTTTGGTTATTTATTTTTTTTAAATATAAACTCTAAGTATATGACGATATCTGAAATCTTGATACTTCATTTCCTATTCGAAATGATTTTTTTGACATTCGACCCGAAATATCCAAATGTTAAAACATCGGACTGGCCTGGTTATTTATTTTTCAAATCGGATCAACCCAGCTCATGGATGAATTCTCCAAATATCATGTTTTTGAACACTCTCACCATCAGGCAACCACTTCCCCAACCCTCAGCTCTTGCCCCCACCACCCCCATTGCCCCAACCCTCTCACCCCAACCCTTGCCACCCGCCACTCTTACCCCCTCACCTTCTTCCACCATTCTATCCCATTTAACCCCCACCCTGACCCCAACCCCATACATCCCACCCCATTGTCTGTTGCCATTGGCTGACCCGTGCCATCCGCCCCTACTCCTTTCTCCCTCTACCCTGCACCAATACTCTCACCCTACGGCGCCTGCCTCCATGTTGCTAAAATAAATAATTTAAACTTATCTTTAGAATAGGTTTTCTAAATGTTCATTTTGAAATCGTAATAATTAAAATTGTTTTTTGGAAAAATATTTTACTTCCTACCAAACAATGGAAAATAGCGGGGGGGGGGGGGGGG